GATGAGAAAAAGAAAAAGTATTCATTCCGTTCATTATGGCCGACTTTCATCAGCAGCCTTTGGGGGCCGCTGCTGCTGCTGCTGCTCCTCCCGATCATGAACCCCCGCCCGAGCAGCAACGGGTGAGGAAGCGTCGCAGACGCACCATGGCATGTATGCAGTGTCGCAGCAGGAAACTACGCTGCGACCGTGAATATCCAGTATGCAGTCGTTGTCAGAAGAGCAAGACACCGAATAAATGCACTTATGAGGACGGCTTCCTTTGGCAGCAACCTAATACAGTTGCGTCGCCCGTTTTCTCCGAGCGAGGTCCCACAACCACGGTGCAAATGCCCCCAGCTGATCGGGCGACTGCCCACCCTACCCCGGACTCGGGGATAAGCAGTCTCGCGTCTCGGTCTCATCCCTCGCATCCCATTGAGGAAAAACGTGATAAATTTCTGGAAACCGTCTTGGGTGCCCCCAAGGCCGCCGTCAACCAGGAGCCATATGTCAACACCGACCTCCTCCAGCGACCCCGTCACCTTCCCGAATCCCATCATCATTCCACCTCCCACCCCTACTCAGACGATAACGATGACACTCCTGCATCGCCGTCGCAGCAATTGGATGTCTCCCCTCGGATCATGATGCGAGGACGAGAGACCAAGACCCGTTTCAATGGGTCGGGCATTTTTGCCAACCTTATCGCGCAGGTAAACCTTCTCTTGCTTCCTCGTCTTCCCCCAGCTTGGTATCATATTAGGCGCCCCAGGCATGACCTTAAATTGGCCGCATGTTTACGTCTATGTAGTTTCCTGACCTTAGGGCTTTTGCGGAGGAGATCCGTCAAGCCAGTCCGCATCTGTCAGCGTTACGGCCCGACCTAATGAGAGTCAGGAAAGGCGTCTGGAAGAGAAAGCCTTTGAATGAGCCATTCCCCATGCCCACAACAAGTTCCTTGATCACAATGATCCCGTCACGTGCAGTGGTGGACGAGCTTATCTCCTTGTATTGCACCTACATTGAATCCACCCACCGGATCTTTCACATCCCCTCATTCCTCAAGCAATTGGAAGCGTTTTGGCCGCAGCGAGATCAGCCGGATCAAGTCTCGCCGATTTTTGTGGTGCAGCTCCTCCTAGTGCTTTCGTGTGCATGGAATCTCGCCGATTTCCAGACCCTGCAAATGAAGAATGACGGGCATCTGCAATGCTATACGGCCATCGAGTGGGTCATGCATGCCGAGAAGTGGATAGAGAACGCGCATATCAAGCGCCCGGAGCTGACCAGTCTCCGCCTGAATACATTGCTGATCATCGCCCTCAATATCCATGGCATGAAACGCAGCCAAGCTTGGCTTGCGACGGGAACGCTAGTCAAGCAAGCCATGATGGCCGGTTATCACCGGGACCCGACTCGATATAGCCGGATCTCCGTCTTCAACATGGAAATGCGCCGAAGAATATGGACGACGATTCTGGAACTCGATCTACAGGTATCCCTCGAACGCGGCATGCCGCCGTCGGTCCAGGAAGCCGATTATGACACGGCTCCGGCACTCAATATCAATGACGACGAGATCCACGAGGACAGCACAGAGCTTCCGGCAGCGAAGCCGTTGGGTGTAATGACTGATTGCTCGTTTCAAGCGGTCCTCGCACAATCTCTTTCGCTGCGGCTCAAGGCCTGCGCGTTAATGCATGCCCCGCATATTAGCTGCCGATACGAAGAAATCCTACACTATGACTTCGAGTTGAATCGACACCTTTCTAAGATCCCTACCTGGCCGACATCAGACGTGGACGACTTCCAAACCGCGCACCGCGGAATCCTTATCCGAGCAATGCTGGAAAACAAAATCGGACATTCCCTCTTATCTATACACACGCCTTTCGCCATTGAAGCGCCCAAGGACTCCCTCTTTACACCGTCCGCCCGGGCTCGTTTAGAAGTGGCGTCGATGATTTTATCCACACAACGGCGCTTACGCGAAACCTCGCAACAGCTATCACTCTGCAACATGGGCGACTGGACCATGCAGGCGTACTGCACTATATGCGAGCTCCTACATCAGGGGCAAATGACCAACGGTAAGCCTAGTCATCCTTATGTCATTGGACTATATGCTGATTCAAACCAGGCGCTTCCACCTTTTTGACCCGAACCCTTCCTGGACTACCCGAATCTCTCATATCCCTGGTGGAGGTGGTTCTTACCTGTCTCGAATCCCGGCTTCTCCTTGTGGTCAAGGGAGCCAAGGAATATTTCTTCATGTCCACGATTGTCGCATTGGTTAAAGTAGGTCTCTGGCCGAGTCAAGCGCAAATTTACAAGCAGGAGGTTGTGGAGAGAGTTATTCTCTTTGCGCAAACCCTGTTTACACGACACGCCAATTGCGCCCATCTAGGCGAATGGGGATTGGGCAACTTCAAGACCAACCAAGTGAGTGTTTCTGTCTACTTCATATTCCAACCTGTATTAATCTGGTTGTGATAGGTTCCCAGCTTAAATGCAACCCCTGGATTGGCACCCCCATTTGTTCCCGACGTGAGCATGGCGCACGCGCCGAACTTTGGCATGATGGTAAGTCTGTTCTTATTTGTATATATGTCACGGGAGCAATGATCTAATAAGACACAGCAGCCACCGGGAGGAGATTTAGATCCATTCCTCGACGCCTTCGACTGGGGCGACCTAACCGGCTTCACGTTGCAGCAATGATGTAAAAATGCCTCTATATAATCATGACGACTGTATGTAACTGTACCAACACCTCTGTGTACACTCAATCCCTGGAATACTGTATTATGTATCATCATTCTGTATGAACACAACATTCTCTATCGCCAGATACGATCGTGATCCCTAACCGATCATCTATTACCATGACGCCACAACACAACAACCGAACAATGATCAGACACAAACAGGATGGCGATCATTGGATACATATACTTTGTAATTATCGATGTCAATAATAAGTCATTGCCCACAGAGGCAGAACCGTCATTCGTCTCCGCGGCAGGGAAAGTGGACCGAGGGATCGACAGCCCGACCGCGATGCAGATCGGATGATATCAGAAGTGGTAAGGATTTTGCCATTGCTGGTCCACAAAATGAGGTTCCTGGAGGACAACTTGATTGAGGAGTAGTAAACAATTGACTCCACAGTCAGACGAAGTACTTCAGAACTGGGGTGAGAGTGTTTGATCACATGCTCTAAGTTAAACTGTATTCTAGTACTGCAGACCTGATTGATTGTATTGGTCGCGGTCCTGAGTAGCCGAACAAGTCAATTGGTCAATACTAGATTACTGACCCCATCCATGAAGAATTGTAAAATAAAGATGTAAGGAGCGCGAAGATAGATACCACTGCTGAATTGACTTCAGGCAGTGCTGCGATCCGACCACCAAACCCCGGTTGGCGATGAACTCTCCCATACCCGAAACCACGAACATGAACGATTCAATTACCTTACAAACAAACACAGGGCTGAAGATGATCTTCAGGAGATTCTGCCCTTCTATTTCTGTTCGAGGGTTCTACTTTCTCTCAGTGGTCCTTTTGTGGCTTTGCATCGCTTTCATCCCCAAGTTGCTCTACTGAGCAAGAGGCTGAGCGTGGGGGCTAAGTGCTTAGCATGATCAACGAATACTACTTATCGCACTAGCTTTACGACTAACATAGAATCGTTCCCCTTACTGTGAAATAAGTGGTTTGTCCTACCGTGTATGTCCTGCCTCGTTTCTTATCTACGGATGAACGGCTGTCGCTGTCACATGGGTGGGCAGTCAACTGTGTGTGGCTGATTCTCTGTAGATATACCCCACTGTGTATCTATCGCAAATGCAGACCGACAGCGCCATATGCAGCGGAGTGTTTCAACGCCTCTCTTGCGGGGCCATTTCTCGAAGGTGTCAAGTGGGATTATGCAGTTTTGATGCGCTGTGGGGGAGAATTGACTCTTGCCTGAACTGATATCATGACAGAGGCTGTCACCTTGCCAGACAATGACTTCAGGCCGGATGAATGTAACATGCAATGCAACAATACAATCATCCCGTCCGAGTAGATCCACACCGCATTGATCCAAGTAAGAACCAAAATCATGAGCAGAAGCAGAATTTTCTAGCGTCATGCACTCAAGGGTTCAATACGAGATAGAAAGAAAGACTATGTTTTAGGCAGGCATATTACCTTAGCGGCTGTGGTATCCTCCGTTCGATCTATACGGTATTGACGGTATGAAGACCGTCTCAATGCAGGGTCGTGACCAGCTCTGGGTGATCCGGATCTGCAGGGTTCTGACCAACCCGGGCTGCTGATTGGCTGGGGGGAGGACATCGGGCGGGTACGGGTATTACAGCCTGTGAGAGCGGTAACGGTATTCCGTGTAAAAGCTTGACTGTGGCCTATTCTTGGAACGATTGCCGTCATGGAGACAATCTAGATTTCTCGCCAACTTTGTCGCTGGTGACGTGCTTCGTGGTTATCCCCTCTTCTGCTATCTATCTATCTACTACTACTATAAGTTTTGCAAATTCTTTGATCGGGATCCTTGCCATGATGGTCGTTCATCTTCAAACGAAGTCCAGGCAGTTAATCTTACTCCCACAGCCTCGTGGGCCAAATCTTAGCGGCCTTTCTGTGCGTCTGCGCTGTCATACAGCTAAGCCTTGTTGGCCCCGTTAGTCCCTTGACTAGCTTCACTTCCGGTCTCTCTCACTGCCAATCATGCTGCCCACGGCACGCTGCCTGGTCTAGCTCTGCGTCCCTATCTGCCTTGTCCTCAATTCCAACACCCTCATCCTTAATGGGGCCGGATCGCTCCGGCCCCATTCCCCTGGATCCTTGTCATTGATATATCCCGATGAGATTCCCTCTGCTGGACGCTGACCCATCATTTCAGTCATTCATGTCAGTTTTGCTATACTAGTACTACTCTTTTCTGTGACCTTTTGAGGACTATTCTCCTCGCGCCACTCCTTTTTGCAGAAATTTTGTTCCACAGCATCATGAAGAGCATCACAATGCTGCCATCTGTGATTTCCGTCTTATTTTTCCTGCTCTATGCAGTGAACGCTGTTCCGCTGGCGCCCCGGGCGAGCGCGCTCGCCGGGATCGACACCAAGTCATTCTCTAAGACCAAAGATTATCCTCTTCCCAACTTGGGCAACATCGTCGCCCATGACCCTAATGTCGTTCAACATGACGGCTATTTCTACTTGTACAAAGGTGGTGTGCACATCCCGATTCACAGAGCTCGCTCCCTCAGTGGGCCTTGGGAACAGGTCGGCACTGTCCTGGACGAGTCCAGCGTGATCCAGAAGCAAAACCGCTCTCGTCCTTGGGCGCCTACGACCATTCAGCACGACAACCGTTTCTACTGCTTCTACGCGATTAGCGAGAACGGCAGTCGCGACAGCGCCATTGGAGTCGCCTCTTCGGACACTCCCACCGGTGGAAACTGGACGGATCATGGCGCTGTTGTCAACACCGGCAAGGGAGACCTGTCGGACATCTATCCCTACTCGGTCTCCAATGCGATTGACGGCGCATTTATCACCGATCAAGAGACTGGACAGTCTCACCTGCTTTACGGGAGCTACTGGCATGGCATCTTTTCGGTGCCATTGGCTGATGATCTCCTCTCCGTCAAAACCCCGAAGACCCCGAACGCGACCAACCTGGCCTACATCCCAGACGCCAAGTCGAAGCCTATCGAGGGCTCTTTCATGACTTACAAGGAGCCTTACTACTATCTGTGGTTCAGCCACGGCAAGTGCTGCCACTTTGATATTCACGCTTTTCCGCCCATGGGAGACGAGTATGTGCACACAATCGTCTATGGAGAAATTAATAGCTAACAATCACAACAGGTACAGCATCCGAGTCGGCAGATCCAAGAGCGCGACAGGTCCTTTCGTGGACAAGGATGGCCATGATACCCTCAAGGGAGGCGGTACCATCGTCTACGGATCCAACCATGGAGTTGTCTATGCCCCCGGTGGTGTGGGCGTGTTGATCAACAACGGCAGCGACGCGGATGTCTTGTATTACCATTATCGTACGTTTGCGGTCCACAATGGTTGAGGAATTAGCTAACAGAATTTGCAGTCAACACTACATCTGGTTTCGCACAGGGCGTGAGTCCAACCCCAACAACCCATTGACAAGATTACACTAACGTAATACAGGACGCTCATTTGGGATGGAACTATCTGCACTATGTAAATGGATGGCCAGTGGCTGTCGAGGGGTATGTTAATGCCAACAGCAAATAACGCTCAGGCACTAAAGGTGGAAACTCAGTAAATCTAGCATAAACGCTACATCAACCGAAAGCAGTGGTCGGGCTACACAACCGAACCACTCGCTCAATTCACTAGCGCTTCTGTGTATGTGCTGTCTAATCTTGATACTGCTCCCTACCCACTATACTGGCAACAAGCTCATTGTTCTATTCGTTGCGCTAGTCATTGGTGCATTCCTTTGGCTCTACAGTTGAATCTACGCCTCTTCTAGCGTCCACCGATGTCCGCCAAGTCGTCTCGCACTGCCTGTTCCTGGCCAAAATGGGGCCAAATCTCAGGGTCCGATCCTGCAGGAACCAACATGGGGCCAACGCATTGCTCGATTGGTATATCTGAAACCAACATGTTGGTTCGAACTCCTCTATGGAGCAACTAACTGCACAGACACCATCCATCCACGCCACAAACATCCAGCAGGATCATGGGTCCCATCCACCATCCACATTCAGGGCCGTGCCCGTTGTATACGATGAGGCATCACTGAGCAAGAACAGCACAGAATGAGCAACTTCATCAGGCGTCCCCACTCGCGGCATCACCGTTGGCGTGGGAGTGAACCCTCCCTGGATGGCCGTGGCCCTATCCAACAACGGTGTCTGAATCGACCCACTACACAACCACGGTCAGCACCATCACCAACAAGCCCCCAAACCAGGGAAGCAAAGAAGCGAAATGAAGGAATAATAAAAGGGAGCAACACTCACGGCGCAACACAGTTCACCCTAATATCCGGCCCCACCTCCTTAGCCACACTCCTCGTCAACCCAACAACCCCATGCTTAGTGGCCGAATACGCAGCATGCAACGCAAAGCCTCTCAGACCCTGAATACTCGCCGCATTGACAATACTCCCCGTCTTACTCGTCCCCTGAATCGATCTTATCTGGGCCCGCATGCAATACATCACCCCAGACAAATTCACCCTCAACAACATATCCCATTCCGCATCATCCTGCTCCAACAACGAGCCCGTGCCATGCTTACTCCCGATCATTCCAGCCATGTTTGCTGCGCCGTCTAGCCGACCGAAGTGTCGGACCGTGGCATCGATCCACTCTTCCACGGACGAGCGGGATCCAACATCAACGACTCGGGTGAGAACGTTCTCGTCGGTGGCGTTGGGGAGCTGGGCCCGTGCGTGCTGCAGCGCGGAGTCGGATATATCTGCTAGGGAGAGACGAGCTCCTTGGGCGTGTAGTTGGCGTGCCACGGCGAGACCGATGCCTGAGAGGCCGGTTATGGTGTAGACTTTGTCTTTGAATGATGATGACGATAACGACATGATGCTGTTATGATTTGTTGATATGTTTTGGATATGTTTTTATGATTGTTGATATTATGCTTTGTTCTCAATTATGTGTTGAATCAGTTCGATAGTTATGTGATGGATGGTATACTTGAACCTACCCCGCATCGGCATCCACGGAGAAGAAGAAGAGGGGGAGGGTTTATATACCCGTTTCGGAATGACAGACTCGGGGATACTCCGATTGGGGGATAATAATGAACACATGATAGATCTAGAATTAGAAGCTACGGTTACATGGATAGATCAATGGCAGAAAACAATGTGGAGTAAATCAGCATGCCAAATCGGCTAAATGGGTAAATGCGATCACGACGGCTACTACTACTACCTAAAAAACAAAATCCTTCGACATGAGTAAAGCAGCAGCTGATTCCATAAGAATCATAACAAGTACCATGATAATCTAGTAGTGCTATTATTAGTAGTTACCGAGTGAGTCAATATGCATTACAATATCCACAAACACAAAATATTCTTTCTTAGGATTGGTACATTAACAATTGGTAAACCTATGGAGATGGGTGTAATATCCAACCAAATACTACGAATGTGAAGTCGAGTTCAACCACGGATCATCCAGTAACTCTCTCGCTGTCTTCCTCCTCTCAGGCTCCCATTGCAGCATTGATCGGATGAACTGGAGGAACAGTTCCTGGTTCTTTCCACTAAGATTCTCCTCGATCTCCTCGAGTGAGGTTGCAGAGACGGTGATTCCGCCTGCGGCTAGCCATTTGCCTATGAATTATTAACTTAATCATCATACCGAAGAGAGGACGGATAAGGGTGGGAGGAGGAAGGGGAATACTAGGAGAGACTAACCATCATCCGTAAACACATTCCGAGTCTCCCGATTTCGCTCGATAAACGACAACGGAGGCAGACCAAGAAACCCCACCATCTCAGCAACATGGTGCGATGGCGAGTAATCCCCGTCTTCGTCGACGGCATTGAATAGATGCTTGTCCGCGAATATATCCCATATCTGCGGTAATAATTGAGCCAGAAAGTTCTGTGAATATAGATGTAAGTAGTGACGTGCTTACCATGACGCCAATATTCCATATATCAACACTGAATCCCCATTCCATATCGAAGAGCACCTCTGGTGCCTTGTAGATGTTCGGTTAGATGATTCCCCGATGAGATGGTCCCATCCTCGCCTGCCCGAGATCGCAGAGTAGCGGCTGGCCCCATAACATGTCTTTCGGTAGGCGTAGCTTTCGAGATGTGTAGATTGAACGGGTGCTGTCTATGGTTTTCTTGGGGGTTGGGGTTTTATGTTGGGATATTTCGAAGTCTGTGAGAATCGAGTGATCGTCTATGCTGAGCATGATGTTTGAGGGTTTGATATCTATGTTTTTACATGTTATTGCTGATGACTTGATCAGTTGGTTGAGAATAGGGAAATGTACCGGTATAAACAACGTTCGCTTCCGTGTGTAGAAAGTCAAGCGCCTGAAGGATACATTTTAGGGTTTCTTTGAGTAGACACTCGCTCAGTCTTCGGGAACTGGAAAGCATTCGTAGATCATGTAGAGACATGTGCATTGGTAGATGCACTAAACATGGATATGTGCCGTCTGGAGTTGTGATGTCGAAGGTATCATACAAGCCACGGATATAGGAACATCCTATATGGGAAGAATTCAACCTGCTGAGGTGGTCGTATATCCTCAGCTCACCAGATAGTGTTCTCGATGAACCGTTCTTGGTTATGATCTTGACAGCCACGTATCTCTGTTCACTTTACAGAGGTAGGTCAGTACTAGAGGTCATTGTGTAGACTGAGTGGACGTACCTTTTCTCATGACATAGCCATACGGTAGAGTAAGAGCCATAGCTGAGCTTTCCTACTACTCTGTATCTTGAAGACAGAGCTTCGCCAATGTGTACGGGATAGAATTGGTCTGGTTTGTAGAATGGAAGTTTCTCTTCTTCAAGGAGCTCTTCGGGTTTAGTAGCAAATGCTCGAGAGCGTATTGCACGCTTGCAATTGAAGACTGTTGCTCGTGTTGAGATGAGCTTGTTATACCTGATAAGTGATAGACCACTCCTGATTGTTGAAAAGTACTTTTGTGTCATTGCAAGGATCAATGAGAGTACGAGGTAGTTGTCAAACGCAAGTCTGCCGGAGTGCGGCTCTAATGAGAGATGCGCCACGTGCGGGAGGTGGAATGCAATGCAAGGCGGAGATAATCCCTCCTTGCTTCGAGCAATGCACTTTAAACGCTCACTAACTCCACGCTCACTTACATGAGTAATATGAGATTGTTCTATGGAAGATGTTAGTCGGATGCTTTGATATCTGCAATGTGGACTACTCGGTTAGGGCGTTTCGCAACGATATGGGCTGCGAAAGCGGTATCCTTTTGCTAGTGCCTATTTATGGCACATCTTCCTCACTCTCTCCTTTGGCTAGTTAACATTACCGGACAAACCCTCTCCTGTTCATCTACCTGTGGACCTGTCCATCCATACAATAACGATCTCATCATCACGGACTCTATCCCTCCTCTCAGTAAGGCACCGTATCGCTATACTTCCATCCTTATTCTCCTCCTGACAGAGAAAGACAAGATTTCTATCGTCATTATCAGGATGCCCCCTTCAAACCAAAGAAGCTTCGAGCTCAGTATCAGAGGCACTCGAACTCAGGGCAACGAATCTGAGCCCCAAGAATCGCCCACCACTCCCCAGCAACTTTTGCAGCTGGTTAGACGCCGTATAGTCGAAGCTGAGGGACCCGAGTATTTCGAATACCAACAGGTCTCGCTTGAAGCCGGGTCCTTCGTGGTACGAAGCTTCTCCAGGGATGGCAATGTGGAACAAGCAAACCCAACCTTGAGCTACAATACACTAGACAGGGTGCTCTCGGTGACCATGTCAAGCATGACCCACGGCAGCGCGTTTCTTTGGGGAGTAACTGAAATGATTGACAGTCTTAGCCAAAGATACTTCACCAGGGACGAATTCAGAGATCTAATGATGGGTGGGAATGACGGTAGGAAATCCGATTATTACGCCTATGCTTATAATATGGACTGAATATCACTAATAAATCTACATGCATGCAGGGTTCTTCAACTTTCCCGCGCCGTGGGCCACCGGCAGCTATAAAGAACCCGATTTCCACATTATCCACCCTAACACATTGCTACCTACAGTGGTTATTGAATGTGGATACTACAATGAAAGCAATACCAAGCTGCAATGTGATAAAGATCTCTGGCTTCTGGGTGGAGCACCGCATGTCAATGTCGTTATCCTGATAAAGTGGGATAAAGAGGCGGATAGTAACCGCGTTTCTGGGTGGATCGAATTGCATCGCCGCGGGGATAATGGTGCCGCTACACGCAGGGTAAGTGTCATTGATTTTGGTTTCATGCTCAAAGCGATCATAAGTCACACATCTTATTGGCTGCCTATCCGATGACTGAATACATCTGTTTGACTCTATAGGACATCTTCCCAGCTCCTGCTCCTGGAACGCCTTGGGAGAGCGAGACCATCACCCTGTACAGAAGCGACTTTTATCCGGGAGGCGAAGTACCACCTAGAAGGAATGGAAACGATATCTGGCTATGGAGCTTGGACCGTCTGAGAGACATTGCAAGGCAGAGAATGGCCATTGAGGGACTTGTTCCAGCTTAGCAGCTTGGAATTTTGACCTGCAGCGGTGCATGGGTAAGGCGACACGAGGAGGCTCTCGTCTGAGTACTCGAACGCTACATCATTCCCATCTCTAGTCCATTTTGTCTAGATTTGCTTTACAAACGTCTAAACTTGCTTTACGAACTCCACGGTGATATCAATCTGAACAATCAGGTTAGATATCTATGTAAGTCCCAAATATGGACCAGTAGAAGATATGATATTACATCATACGCATAACCAGCACTAAGAGCGCCCGTAGTGTCCATCCTCTGAATATAGTTTAACAGTATAATATCACATTAGCAGATTAGGTAACGTGACTCCCACAGCTTCACTTATAATTACTTCATTAATAACCTCATCTACCACTATCCTTCTCCTGTCTATATATTGCAAAATTCCCAATCTCTCACCCACTACATAACCCTCAGCACTCCGAAGCCACAGCAACATGCCTCAAGCAAGCAGAACACCACAACAGCTCTTCTATTACCTAAAACACCGAATACTGCAGACCGACAGAACAACTTACTTCGAGCTAGAGGGTATACCTCCTGTCACAGGCCGACTAGTGGCACGGACCCTCGCTGAAGATGGCGAGGTCGAACGAACAAGTCCCACTTCGGGGTACGATGAGAATGGAGGGACTTGTGGAAGCCTAGGGTGACGCTCTGCAACTCGATTGAATCAATAATATCCTAATATAGCCAAATATCTCAAACGGGAGCAAGCAAGAGACATGAACCTTAGCACACCCTATACCTGATACGTTTAGAAGGGTGTAGCCCGAAGTACGAACAGCGACCAAGGCAATCAATCATACAGGCCCTCACCTGTACCTCACCTTGCGCTCGCCCGCCATTCAGTCGCGCCTCACTATAACTCTAAAAGGCATGAGTGTTCTGTTTTGTGGGAATACGACAGATACCTGGATGTCCAGATATCCTCAACATCTCGTAGTGTCAACGATAATTAGAAAATGATTTTGTACCAGCTTTATTTTACAGAGGAACGTGTTGAGAGTCCTGACGAAATTAAGACAATGTAGTGAGGTGTGCAAGATCATACTAAATACTGGGTTGAACCAGTCAATTCACATTGATTTCTAACGACAGGTAAAAGAGGTTTATATGAGAGGCTCAACTGTAAACCCTCAGAAAAGGTATGCTTGAAAATAACCTTCCACAAGCGTAACTACCGTAAGGTAAAAGCCAGCTTTGATGTTAAATCTAAACACACGTCCCCCCGACGCGCAGTCATTGAGATCCAAGAGAGATATGCTCCGCATCATACTTGTCACCCATACCCCAATACCAAAGATCCAGTAGAAAGGAGAGCGGTTACTCAGAAAAGCAGCCGCCACGAAGAATGCGCTACAAATATTAGCAGCGAGGCCAAGAAACACCCGAACACGCTGTCCCAGGAACACCGCAAGCGACTGAACTCCGCACTTCGCATCATCGACCATATCTTGGACAGCGTAGGCGGTATCGAGGAAGATAATCCAGCAGACAGTTGCGCCGAACAAAGCCAGAACTGACCCGTTGAATTCGATGTCTCCTTTCACAGAAACATACCCTGGCACCACCCCACTGGCAATAGAGAGGCCCACTACAAGCTGAGGGAATGGCATGATGCGCTTCATAAAGGGATAGATCGAGCCCAGTAGCCACGCCGGCGTGGTCCATAAAATTGCTTGAAGTCCTAGTGTATACCACGTGGTCCCTAGGGTGAGAAGTATCCAGTAAAGAAAGAAGAAAGTAGCTTCTTTGACAGAGATGAGTCCAGAGGGTAGCGGTCTGCTTTTGCATCGTTCGACCTGTCGGTCATATTCGACATCACAGATATCACTGCTCATGTCAGTAAGTAGCTGCTTGTATCGCAGATACTCTAGAGGGATATGCTCACTTCCAAGTACAAAACGCAGAATGAGAGACCGTTGCACTTGCCCAGATGCCGAACAGAACCCAGGCAAGTGACCATCCATCTGTTCTATGTGACTTCACACCAATACCGGCTCCCCACACAGCTGGAAATACAGACAGCCAGGCCTCGTGTGTATGCAGACGACCCATCTCCCAAATAGCGCGGATGCGCTTGCGTGTGTGGTCATCCAGCATATCGGTCTCGGGGATCAGTTTTCCTGCGACATCCATGATGGTTTGTTTACGACGTCACGTAGAGTGAAGAGATAGGATTAGTATGATAATAAGCACATCTCCCTTTTGAATAAATGGGTCTAATATAACTTGTCACGGTCATCTGTCAGCGAGTAATTTATGTAGTAGAAGACGGTGTGGGGTATCTCTTTTGCCCGAGTAGATACTCCGGTAGATCATCCATGCCCTGCTATGCCATGCTTATGCCTGCATCTAGACCCTACTACGTATATTAGTAAACTTTGAAAGACTAGACAGGCTCAGCTCAGCGCTTA